CAAGACCTCAAAAAAAATAATGTATCCCACCATTATAGAGAAAAGAGGGGGCATGTATATTTGTATTTGGTGATAAATATGTAAAAATCTCTGAAAAGAAAAATGCACTGTAATAATGAACACAAAAATGTTTAAAATCTAAATTTAAATTGTTAATGTGCAAAATAACTACATGCACACAATGAAATAGTGGGTTTTGTGCAACGTTAGACTACTGTATGCTTTCATACTGTATTGATTGTTTTTCTTGTGTAATTTAAAAACCCAAACCAACTCTGCTAATTAAGCTTTCCTTGGCCAAGATCTCCTTGGATCTCTGACAGTTCCTAGTTAAAGCCCAGTTTGTGGTTTTGACAGCAAACCAAGACCCTCTTGTTTACTTCAGGAAAACTGGCTGGTTTTAGTGCTTGGCATTATTCTGTGGGTACCCTCATCCCAACAAGATACCAATTGTGTTGACTGTGACTTACAATTGCGCCAGATTTTTTTGGTCACTTTTTGTTTGAGATAGGTAGTGATACTAGGGATAAGATTATTGTTAATTTGGCTTTAATTTTTGACAAATTGTTTTGAAATCAGGAACAGGCAGTATAATGAGATGATGATAAAAGATAAAAACAACTAAATCAAATTTTTGAACTAATACATACTGTATATGTAATTTGGTATATAGTTTAACTCTTCCATTTATTGTTTCTTAATTAGTCCAGAACTCGGATGATTAAAATCACCACATACAAGTGCCACTTTACAAAATGAAGCGCTTAGAATGTACTTTTTCTGATAATGGTACTCGATGTGAATAGTATTTAGATATTTTTACAATTTTGTTAATTTTTGATATTTTTAAGATAGGAAAAGAGAATGAGTCAGAGACCTTCAGTAACTTCATTATTAAATTCACCTCATTCTCCTTTTCATATCTCCTTAGCAGAAAAGAAATGACCTACAGTTTTCTATCAGCTTGGTATGGTGTTTGTGAGAAGTCTTATGGCACTTTGATTTCACAAATACACGACCAAAGTGACTAGTTTTTGTTACCCCTACCACATTATAGAGCCCCAAACTAGGCTTGAAAGGAAATCATAAACCTTGTAGAAAATGAGAAATATTCTTTTCTTTTCCTGTATAATCTACTGGTGTCATTAAACTAAAAGTCCTCAGTCTGTGACCTTGAAAAACCTAGAGGCTACAGAGGAGCAAGAGAATACTGAAGGTCAGCCCCTCCACTGCTACCCAAAAAGGGGAGCAAATACTCGTCCTGACAGGTAAGTGTTTTTATAATTATGGCAGATGGTGATTGAAGCAAAGGCAATTCAAAACGGGGAGGGGGCGCACGAAAGCAACAATTTTGAATGTTCGACATTTGTTTTGAAACTACCTTACTACCCTATACCCTTTACCATCTGTCTGTTATCCCTCCCAACACCCACCTCTGCCTTCCCACAGGGCTCTATTGTCTGCAGTTCCTGTTTCTCAGGGGCGGAGCTGTGGGAGGCAGCCATGGGTGCCATAATAGGCACCTGCGGCCAGCACAATGGGCTGTGGGTGCTTGTGGGAGAGACAGATTGATGTATTGTGCATGGGGGAGGAGGGCTGTCACTTGAATCCATGTGAACCCAGGCTTTAGGGGCAAGGGAGATTGACAGCTTTTGTAGGTTGCATTTCTTTTTCAAAGCTTGGCTTTAATAGACAGTAAGTTTGGGGCCTCAGGCTTTCACTCCCATAATTCTAACAGGGCAATCACGAGCATTCAGCATTTCTTTTTACCCCCCTTGTTACGCATTAAATGATTTCAGTAAAGGAATGTGCAGCATTAATTAGAATTTGTTAGCAGATACCAAGGGGAAAAGTTTCTTCACAACAACTATAGGAGGTGTCATTTGTACAAAGACTTTTTTGTTTTCTTTCCCCATTACATTACCACTGCAATATGTAAGGTAGTGATTCTTTTCATTGAAATTAAGTGGAAAGCTACTAAATCTTGTTTTATTCTCCCAAAAGAATAAGGCCCTTAACACTTATCTTTTAACTTCTTTCATTTCCTAAGGTTGGTGTTTACTTTTGCTTTCAGTCTGACCCATTTACTGGTCTGTGTGGTTGTGTATCCAGTTTTGTGTACCATTTAGCTCTTACAATTACAGGCAACCCACCGTACTGAGATATAAGGATTGTTACCAGGGGAAAATAACTACCAATAATACTGGAAATCATTGACGCTCCAGTCTCTTTTCAGGAATGGTACATTGAGAATTGCTAAAAACTAGACTCTTCTAGGTTTGTGCCTTATTTTCTCATACTATTTTTTCCCTAGTTGATATACAATGTTAGACATGGCATCCAATTTATGGAAGAATGGAGCATTGGCCAAGGAATATATCTTTTTCTATAGAGAGCTCATTCTAAGCTGTCAGTTTTCTCGAACATCAGATGCCCCCCACATAGATAGCATCATTTACTTATAGTTAGTAAAAAATGATTTTTTGTATCTATGTTTTATTCCTGACATTTTAGACTTACATAGAAACAAAGCTAATCTCAGCTAGGATATATCTTGTAAACACACTCTGCCATCTGGAGAACTGAGAAAACATTAAAAAATACTTGGTGTAATTCTTCTAACATCTCTCCCATACAAAATAATTTTCTCAATTGCAGGGGTTGGAGGCTAATTGATTTAGAATCTTTTCTATGTAATTGTTTTATTGAAATGTGGTAAGGCCAACAATGAAAAATATTAAGTTTGCCTTTATTTCTCAGAACATATTCTCACAGAGTTTGTCTGCCTCTGTCTATAATAATAATTTGGTGCAATGGCTTTAAAAGTAGTGGGGGTGATAATAATTAGGGTGTGCGACAGAAATTTCAATGCTGGATTCAGCATTTCACCATGCCAGGCATGAAAATTGCCAACTGGGGGCTAGTCAGCTCTAAGTACTAATTAACTAATTAATCAGGTGCTGAAACCAGCTGAATGGAGGATACCAGCCAGACAACGCGAGCCCAAGCGGAGCACTGTGCTCTTTAAAAGACAGTGCAGTCTTTCTTAAGTTCAACCCAACAGAAGTGAGGAGAGAAAGTAGGATATGGTGTCCTCCTGTCAGTCATTTCAGGCCAAGCTTTTTACTTTGAGAAAGTAAAATGGAAACATGTGCCTCTTATCAGAACTGCAAAGCACTATGTGTAGGGCAATGCTCAAAGATTGGCAAGCCCCTGGCTGCCTGGCCAGGGTGGGTTTCAGGTCTGGCCGGGTGGGTGGTGAGAGAGGGCTCTGCTTTCATGGAGTTCACTTTATATACATACGTATATATTCAATAGGAGAGAGAAAAACATCTCTCTCCCTTTGGGTGGATCTTAGCTCTTCCACCTCAACCTTCGTTTATGTAAATGAGAAGAGTCCAATTACACATATGGAAAAAAGGTTTAATGAATCGTGAAAAAGCCCAGTTTGCACAGAAAGGCACAATTTCTTCCCCTCCTCCTTCTCCTCCTTCTCCTTCCTTGCATCCTTCCTACCTTCTTTTCTTCTCTTCTAAATTTAACTTAAATATATATCTCTTTTAAGGAAGATGATAGTCTAATAATCAGATCATTTTCTTTTATGTACTATTTTTCATATTTGGAAATTGTTAAACATATTTTGCTAGAAAATTTAGCTTCCCTTATCTTTGTCTGTAAGGCTTTCTGGATACCTAGCAAAGATTCTGTAACAAGACCTGCTGAATTCTACCTTTCTCCTCTAAATTTAAAAAATGACTGCATATTAGTTCCCCCTCTTTGATTATTGTGAGCTCAGTGATGATTTTTCTTCTTTTAGCAGTTTGTTGTGGAATTGTCTGCAATGAAAAAGGCCTGCATTATCAGGGATTGGTTATGGAACTCAGGGAAAAGGCCCTTAGTTCGTATACCTTTTAAGCTTAACTTTGGCATCACCATGATGTTTTAACTAGCTAAAGTGTTTAGGCGTTGGAAATTAGGTAATTCTTTTCTTTCTTGCTCGCTTGCTTTCCGAAAAGCCAGGACAGAAAATCCTGTTTGAGTTTTCCTTTTATTCCCTTTTCTTTCGCTGACCTAATCAGTAGTTCAGAGAGCCCCTCTTCCACCGACCCCCTTTTTAATGACAAAAAACTCTGAGAGAATACGGGGCGCGGTGGGGGTGGGGTAATACCCTTCAGGACTGTTGCTCTTAGAATATAGTAAGTGTTCAAGTAGCCCTAAAAGAGTCGTCTTAGGTGCTTTCTAGAGACCTACTTCAACGTTATTGGGCACTTGGGGAAACTGAGGTCCAAGAAGGGGGCAGGGATGTGCACTCTTCCTGATGGGCCTTCCCCTCTCCCCTTCTACAAAATACCGCTTCGGTCCCCGGAAAAACCCTACCGTGGAAGAAACCGCCGGCGTCCTCGCTACTTGCCTAGGCAGGAGGGCCGCGGGCTTTCCATTCTACCCTCGGGCCTCCCACATCGGCGCCCTGGATGTGATCGACACCATCAAGTTGCCCATAATCCTCTCTGGCAACATAGGATGTAAAATTTGTTCAGCTCATTGGATGAAGCCGACAAGTCCCCAAAATGTGTGAAAAGGGGGCCAAGCGCTAGGCGAGCGCTGAGCAGAGGCAGCGCCCGCGGCCCCTCAGGCTGTTAGTGCGGCGGCGGCGGCGCGAGCGGGGGCTGGGCCCGCGGCGGCGGCGGCGG